ACTTGCGTCTCCGTCCGGGTGGATGATTTCTGAGCTATTTTTGAAAGTAATGGAACACTTCATTCTACACACCTCCAGTTCAAAGCAAAATCCAAGCTACTGACACTCCAGAGAAACTTGAGCTGGAAGAAAGGCAGAACAAAAAGCAAAACAGGGCAATAGATTTGCAGAAAGCATAAAGTGTTAAGCGAAAGATAAAAGAAAGTGATAAAAATAAAGCAGATTAAAAATGGTATTCCGATGCATCATCTGAATATTTTGAACCCGAAGTATACCCAACAGCTTTTGAAGATTTATCAAGAACTTCCAAGGCCGCTGATTATGTTCTGGTAGAATTTAAACCAGAAAACACTAAATCAAAACCAGTTTACTATATCGGAAAGCTACTTTCTTGTGTGATAGATGTATAAATGAGGTGGATGCCACTTTTATGAGGAAAAGTGAGAAGATTGATTCTAAATGTTACTTTCCCACAGCTTTAGATATTGCCACAATTTCAATAATAAAAGACATTAAGATGATATTGCCAAGGCCAGTTTGTTATGCTCATATTAAACGGCAAAATTTATTTTTCTCATTCGAGATAAATTTCAAATTAAAAAAATATACGTTAATTCCAATCCCTATGTTTTTAATAAATAGGTATTTTGTTACTTAATTTTGTTTTTTATTTGTTTTTTTTTATTCATATAAATAAATATTTTATAACTTGAATTTTTTTATGTTTTCTTCCATATAAATTTCTATTATATTATTTATCTATGCATATAAATATTATACTGTCTCACTGTTACCCATGCATGGGTAACACTGAGACAAATGACAACTTGACCTTATATGCCAAATACAAACTAAACAAACCGAGCAATTTTCAAATTTGAAATTTAAAATTTTTTTCGTTTATAATGAATACATGTGAGAGTACAATTCTGAAGAAATTTTGTTTATATATCGACCCTCCCAACGAAAACTGTCGTAACACATTTTTTTTTAAATTTTGAGTTATTACCATAAACAGATTTCATGATACCGAAATTTCTTCCAAAGAATATTATAATGACTTAAATCGTAATATAGACAACACAATATACATTAATGTAAATGTAGTACAATCTCAATGTTCTCTGTACTTTACCGCGAAGAAAGTAATAGTATTATGGAGTTACTATAATATTCGCTGTAAATTTGTGAGAAGGAACCGAGATACGGCTATACGTTTCAAGGGAATAAAATTGTAAGTTATGTTAAATGTCGTTTCACATTAGATGAAGTACTAAAGAGAACCTTGTTTATTGGTATAATAATTTATAATAATGTCGCAGAGAACTAAACGAATTTCGGGATTACTTTTTAATAATACTCAAATAGCATAAGTTGCTGTCGTCATATTTATTTGAATATGCGCTTAAAATCTTAATGTTCTACATAGCATGGATAGTAAAAAAGTTAATTTCAAATGAACAATCTAAGTATTTTATTATTTAAACGTTTCTTTTTCTTTTCATTTAAATTTTTTATTTTTTTTTTTATTTTAGACAACGAAAATTAAAGTAAATCATACCGTTGACATTGATACCAATTTATTTCCTTCTGATTATTCCGATGATGATCCGAACTATGTTCCCTTAGGATCAGAAGCCGAAAACAAAAATTGGAATCTCATAACAAGGGAAGTAATATGCCATTAGACAGACTATCATCGAAAAGGGAAAGGAAAGGTTAAGATAGGAAGAAAATGAGTTAGAAATGAGAACGAATGGATTGACAAAAAAGTCAAAAGAGAAGTTAATAGCGGTCTTGGACATAAGAAACGCAACGATATTAATATTGGAAAAACTTGGAGATCATACCAGGCAGTGGGATTTTCTTGCAAGATGCGTGAAACAACAAGGCAAAACTTAAATCACAATTCTAGGTAAACAATTCTAGGAGAAACTTTTTGCGCAAATATAAATTTATTATTGGTAATGTCGAGAAACAAATTTGCAAGACAATGTTCTTGAATACGCTTGCAATTTCTGAAGCTTTTCTTAGAACTACTTTGAAAAAAATTTGTGAATCTGGTTTCATAGAAGCAGATAAGAGAAAAAATAGACCACACAAGATCCCGGATAGTGTAAAAGATAACATTGTAGAGAACACATAAAATTATTTTCACTTGTACCTTCTCATTATACAAGGAAGAACTCAAAACGCATGTACTTAAAAGAGGGCTAAAACATATCTGTAATGCACCGAATGTACGTGGAATATGCCAAACTCAAAAAATGGGATGCCGTCGCTACAGTTAGACATAACAAGGATACTCTAAACTCACAATTCAACATTGCATTTTTCAAGTCTAACAAAAATCAATGTTCAGTATGCAGTGTTTTAACAATACAGATCCGGGGAAAAGAACTCAATCAATGGAAGAAAATTACACTAGCCATGTTTTAAACAAAGAGTCTATTAGAAATCTGAAAGATGCTAATAAGGAATTATCAAAAAGTGATAAATTGTTTTTAACAATATGCCTCGATTTGCAGAAGGTATTAGTAACGCCCAAATCAGAGGTAAGTAACTTTTAAGGTAAGTAAGAGTAAACTTGCAACTTATAATTTTACTATTTAAAATTTGGGCAGTAATCAAGGATATTGCCACGTATGGCATGAACGAATATCAAAAAGGGGGCCGAATGAAATTGTAAGCAGTTTATGGCATTTTTTAAAAGGTGCAAAACAAGATGGCATTCGAAAAGTCGTGTTATAAGTACTTCCTCAATTGCGGAGGGCAAAACCGCAATCGTTTAATTTTTCGATGTTTGCTCATGAATCGGTGACTTTGGATTTGAAAATAACACAGCGTTTCTTTGAGATGGGTCATACCCAGAACGAAAATGACAGCATATACGCTGTGATACAAGTTGCAGAGAAACGACATTTCAATATTTAAACTCCTGGCCAGATTATTAGCCTCATAAAGATGGCAAAAGTTACTTCCCCACAGTAAAGTGGAAATAAATGTCTCAAGAAGAATTTTTTAATTTTAAACCAATGATTCAGAAACAGAACTGGAAGAAAATCAACACTACGGAGGTGGTAAAGATAAGCAAAATTAGGGAAATTCACTTCGAACCGAAGAATCCTTTTAAAAGTTATTTTACATACAGTTTTGCAGAAAAATTACAGAAAACTCGACATCGCAACACCAAAATTACTTAACCCCAAGAATATAAACTACCACGTTTATACCAAGGTCTTTTACCAATTGACAGTAAAAAATTAAATGGTCTATTAAGTTTATATAAAGATCAAGAAACTGTACTGAGTAATTCGTCGTTAATTATTATTAAAATTAGTTTTATGTCATTATAACAAATTGCTAAAAATAAGAAATTTGTTAATTTTATTTGTTTTATTATTGTAGTATGTTTTTATAAATGAAATTTATGTCTATGAAGACTGTAATAACTCATTCAAAATCCAAAATCAAATAAATATGTATTTTTATGAAATTTATATTCGTTTGCAATAATTCTGATTTCATAAATAATTCCTAAGTGAAAAGATGAAAAACATAGTAATAATAATTAAAAAATTACAGAACGTCACTTTTAACAATTATTTTTAAACGCAAATATCTCGGAATGAGAGATTTTGAGTTACGAAAGTTTTCGCGGGGAGGGGTCGATATGTCATAGTAGTGGACTTATCATGGATGTATAAACATAGACAATGGGACTTATAATTAAATAAAAAAAATGTCTCACTGTTATCCAGTTTCCCCTAACCTGTAACGATAATTTTCACTTAGAATTTCTAAAGTTAACAGACGATAAACAAATAAAGTTTAGATTTATATTAACGACATCTATAACACAGGCTAAATGAATATTTATCTTTAACAAAAATGTGCAACATGAAAAAATGTTATAACATTGCCACATACTAAAAACTTTTCTCAAAATAATTCATAGACTGGTTACAAGAGTTATGTTTTCTATAATAATGCTATCAAAATGTGTCCAAGCTCAGTGAATAAATTACACAATAGAACATATTTATAGTAAAAGTTTCACATTTTTACAGATTCTTGTGATAAACATGCCATAAAATTTAATATAAATACATTTAGTATAATATAACAAATAATTTTGGTTCGAATTTTAGGATAAATATTAATAATTTATTCACAAAAATGAGTTATAAATAATTTTCGTAGAGTATTTTTGACAGTCTAAGATTTGGCGAAAGCGCTAGGTTAATTTTTAAAAATGTGAGCAATACTGACTAGATGTCGTCACACTCGTTAATGTATTACTAATTGCATAGCTGCTAGGAACGTTTTTGACGTTTATTTGAAGTTAACTTAACCGGCACTTTCTATAATCAATGACGTATAATATATAGACTACGCAGTCCCCTATTCTCGCTATAGAATCGAGTGTCCGAAAGATCTCGGCTCAAGGTTGAAGGTATGTTTATCACAACAGCGGCGTGCTCATTTATATGTTAATGACAATAATTATTTTTTAATTAAAATTAAATATTTATGATTTCTTTTTGTTCCCGTCTATAAGAGAACTAATTATTTTGATAAAATAGTATGGCATTTTACTAAAATAGTAAGTAAATAACTCTCAACAATTTAAAATAAAATTTGCTTGTCACACAAAATGGAGAAAATGTTTTCATACGTCCATGATGTTTTCAAACACAAAATCAACTTCGTGATGCTTCGTAAGAAATCATGAACTTCGTGCACCTTCGTATCAAAACAATAAACAATAACAAAGGTATTCATGTTTTGGACACTTTTTAAAGCGTTCACCGAGTCTATATATTATACGTCATTGTCTATAATACACTTTTGCGAATGATTAATCGAATTAATCGATGTTCTGTTTGCCAACACAACTTGTCAAAATAAACATAACCTCAAACATTATTAAAATAAATTATTAATAATATAAGTTTATTAATTATTAAAACACACTTAAAGGTTTTATTAACTTTATAATGGTAAGTATACTACACTCCTATTTTATAAAATATTTAATAATTAAAAATTTTAGGACATTAGTGCATTTTCAAATGATGATTTTGATACTAAAGAATGGATTAATGATATCCTTAAACAAGGGGATAATGCAAAAGAGGTCAGACAAAATTCTTTATATTTAAAATAAATAATATTTTAATTAAAAGCACATATAACTTTTTAGAGCAATTATACAATGTCCTTAGTAATGAAACTCCAACTGTATGTCCAGCAAGTGAACAGTGCTTTAGAAGACACTAGTCAGCAAGTTTTAGCATCTTTGCCGAAGATTATGAGGGATGCGAAAAGTTTACAACAAGAAGCTTTATTATTAAAACAAAAAATGGCCACAGTTAGGGCAGAAGTTGAAAAGATCGAGCATGATACTGGCCAGTCGATCCATACAATAGAAAAACTAGATTCTATGCAGAATAAGTTAACACTGGCTAAGCAAGGATTGCACGAAAGTGACAATTGGACGATTTTGGGTAAGTAATATTATTATTATTATGGATATACTAAAGGCAACAGGTCTGGATAACAAAGACCTTCAAGTAATCAAGAACATATACTACAACCAATCAGCAACCATTCGGATGAAAGACTAATTAACAGAGGAAGTTGCAATAAAGAGAGGAGTATGACAGGGCTGCATACTCTCTCCCCAATTATTTAATGTATACTCGGAACATCTCATGAGCGAGGCCTTAGAGCATACCGAAGAGGGTATTCTCATAAATGGTGAGAGTCTAAATAACATCAGATATGCAGACCACACCATCCTCTTTGCAGACAGTCTAGAAGGTTTACAGACACTAGTAACGCAGTTGTGGAGAATCAGTCAGGAGTACGGGCTTGATTTTAACATCAAATCAAGTACATGGTCATCAGTAAGAAGCATATTCCACCCAGACAATTACTGGTAGATCAGCAACAAATACTTCAAGTGCCCCGTTACTACTATTTAGGAACCACCATAAACATACAATGGGACCACTCAGTTGAGATAAATCAGAGAATTGAAAATGCCAGGTCAGCGAATTGTCAGAATGAGCAATGTTATAGACGGATACTGAGGATCTCCTGGGTGGACCAAGTTAAAATCATTGAGGTTCTACGTCGGATGGATAAGACATGTGAAATTATATACACAGTGAAACAGCGCAAGCTAGAATATCTTGGACATATAATGTGAAACGACCATAGATATAACCTGCTGCAACTTATACTACAGGGAAAGGTCTACGGAAAGAGGGATCCAGGAAGAAGAAGAATATCTTGGCTCCAGAATTTATGAAAATGGTTTTCCTTGACCACTTCAGGACTATTTCGAGCTGCGGTCAATAAAGTTAGAATTGCCATGCTAGTTGCCAACATCCGTAACGGATAGGCACCACAAGAAGAAGAGAAGAATATTATTATCTTACTATTAAAACCAAATAAAAATCGAAGGTATCTATTTCATTTTTTTTTATTTTGTTTCTCAATAATTATTTTATCTTTTATTATTATATGTAAGAGCATGTATTATATATATGTTCAATAATTTTGTAAAAATTCAAATTATGTTTCACTGCTTTTTATAAAAAAAACTTTGCCATATGATTTTTGTAACAATATAAAGTAGTGATGAGCAATATCAAGATGAAGATGAATGGAATGAATTCAAACTAAATGAATTGCAGATTAGCTTAATAAAATAATATTGTAATTAATGTATCAAGTTGAAGAAGGAGTAGAAACATCTCTTCTGAGGAAGAAATGTTTTAAATTACCACTTTTTATTAAATTTTGTATTTCTTTAGGTAAAAATTATATATAATTACGGAATAACAGCAACAATATTCATAGTATGTTATTGTGCTCTGAGGTGCTCACAGCTCTTCAATCTCCTAACTGTAACTGTTAGGAGTAGAAGTAGAATAATTATTGGAGCTTCTGAAGCAAATTCTGTTAGGCACACTTTTTAGCAAAAATTATTTATTTACTTAAAATATAGTAAACAAATCTAATTGAGATTTATTCTTATTAAAAAGTTCAAATATTGTGAAATTGGTTTATAAAACCAGTATTTATTATGGTGGAAAGGAAAATGAAATAGATAATTATTCCTTATTCCCTGAGAGTATATTAAAAATAATAAGTTCAAGAAGCCAATTCCATTTTTCTTGTCAAAATCCTATACAAGTAGAGTATAAACAATAATTGGTTTCCATGGATCTAAGGAGATAGCAGACTCAAATGAGTTATTACCAATGTTTGGCTAAAATGTTTTGTAAAATTAAAAATAATGTTTTAACGGGTTATTATCTTCTTCTTCTTCTTATGCTACTCCTATCAGAGATTGGAAATCATCAAGGCTATCCTGACCTTGTTTACAGCTGACCTAAAGAGTTCATTAGTGGTACAACCACACCACTCTCTCAAATTATGCAACCATGACATTATTCTACTGCCTGGATTCCGTTTTCCTTCTATTTTTCCTTGCATTATATTTTGAAGTAATGCGTATTTATGTCCTCTCATCAGGTGACCCAAATATTCGAGTTTTCTTTGTTTGATCGTTGACACAATTTCTGGGTCTTTTCCTATCCTTCGTATTACTTCAAAGTTTGTGACTCTTTCAACCCAACTTATCTTCAACAAGGGCTATTATAAAAATAGAAAAATAAAATTTGCATAGTAAATGTTTAAAGGGATTGTACAGTAAATATTGTAGAAGTATTATAAAGAGCATACAGTATAATATGGTGACACAACCCATATTCATAACGGTGATAAGAATATAAATGATAATTATTATCTATGAGTTGTTACAGGATGTTTTTATTGCATTAACATAGTTTTGGAAGGTATCACTTTTGTTATTTATTTATCTAAATATCTTTACATTATCTTCATAAAGTAAAAAATCAAGGGTTGTACATACTTTTTAATATCATTTACAAAAACTCTTAACATGTGAGGACCATAATGGAATCCTTGTGTAAAACCAGAGCTTACATGAAAATTCTTTGATATTACACCATTCTGTCTAATAGACTGATAGTGATCTTGTAGAGAGCTATGACACAATTGAGCTTTTCGGCTATATTAAACTACAGATAGAAATAAAATATACATGAATACAATAAATAAGTAGGTAGAAATTTATTTATACAAAGTATCATTTTACATTTTAGTATTTCAGTGCTTCAAATTAGTAATGGGACATGATTTCACTAACAGTGATTCAGTCACTGTGATTTATAAATCACTGATAACTAGCATTCCATGCTAACTTCTGATAACTGTGATAGGTGACTAGATATCTCAAATATAAATTCATGGTCATCATCTCACAAAACTTGTTTATATAATAAATAATTATGATATTCTCAGTGAATGTGATTTGGGGAACAGTGACTAACATCTGGGGATTTACTAACAGTGAATATTAGGAACTGATATACAAGATATTTTATGTTATTATCTACTGATATTTGTCTTTTTAAAATAATAAATTTAAAATTATGTCATTAAATGTATTGAATATATTTTTTCTTTCATAAAAACATTCATTTATATAAAAAAGAAATTTATAAAAAAATTTAAGTAAAATTCTAGAGCTAGGATCCTATTTTTAGTTTTATTTAAAAGAGGAAGCGTTGTCAAGAAAGTTTTATAGTACTTTAAAAATGGATTACTTTATTGTTACTATTGTAAATTTATTATTATCAAACCATCTAGTTGCATTAGTTAAACATATTCATTATTAGCAATATGTTTTTTATATCACTACATAACACTGAGTGATCGTGATCGTGTTGCTTAGTTTACGATACTTGTGACTAACTGTTACTGTACATAAAAGAACAGTGATCGTGCTCACGGTCACTGATCACGCCGTGATTAAAAAATCATCACGTTCATCATCGCTACTTCAAATAGTACATATAGTTATTGATATTGCCTCATCAGGTAGCTGATTAGCATACATGAAAAGTGAATTCTGACACAATAAAGGGGAAGAAATAAGAATATAAATTAGCTGAAGCAATTCATTGATAAGCTTAAAAATAAATATCAAATCAAAGTCAACTTGTTTTGTAAATAGATAATCTAGATTCAAGAAATTCATCATACCAGAATAAAAATATTGTCTATGCAGATTAAAATAACGTACGTCAATAATTTTTTTGAAATATGTTTAACTTTTAAATACATCCTTGAGTAAAGGGAAACCTCACTCACTTCAAGAGAAAAGTAAAGAGTTGATAGGAATGCAATCCTACGAAAATCTCTGGTTAAAACCAAGCTGTTTCATAGCCTTGTTGCATATATGGTCTATATGCAGATTTTTCTGAAAAACCATATCTGGATCTGTAACATTATTGACCCTCTTAATCAAACATTCTGTAAATTGTAATTAAAACCAGAGCCTCAAGAGATGAATAAAACTGGATCACCCAACATTTTTCATAATTAATAATTAATTTGTTATAATGATACCAGTTACTGAATACCAAATCTAATATGTTATTATAAATATTCAGTATTGTGTTTAACTGATAAAAATTATAAAGAAAAAAGTTAGTATTCAACAATAATGTCGACTGATGGTCCTCCCACAACAGAGACCAAATCATTGATCTCATTAGTCCAGGAAACACCAGAAAGATTATAGTCACCAGCACAATATATAATATTGCCAGGAAACATGGTAATTAACCATCAGTAATGTTAATTTGCGATGAGAGAAAGCTGCTTCTCACAGCATTAATAATGCCACCACTATGTGTTTTGCCAGTAGCAATTTTTATTTTAAAAATAAAAATATTCCATTGTCTCTAGTGAAACATGGAAAAATGCTACATCGTTACATGTATTTGGGCTGCCCGAATAACATTAAATGTGAGGCTGAACACGAAATAATTTTTTTTATTATTTAAAATTAACAGCTTATGGTCATTGACACGGGTACAGTTTACAACATCATACATGTTTTATATATGTACAAGCGTTTGTTATCAACAATTTTTTTTTGACTCATCAGTGTACGAAATTTCATCAAATTTTGTTAAGTTAAGGATGTTTTGGAAGGATTTTCTAAGGATTAAGTTTGTGGTTTCTGTTTTATTGAATCTTCATAAATGAGTATTGAATATTGGAAGATTGTGCATCCATGGAGCTGTCTTGGAGGTGTAGATAGAAGTGGTATTGGAAAGGTTGGTGGAATCTAATAAAGGAGATAATATTTATGGTAATGTGAGTGAGTGTTTGGATGCGTTTGCTGGGGAAGGTCCTATGGGATTGATTAGATTTATTACCGGGTTACTTGGGTTTGTTGATATTCTTACAAAGTATGAAAGTACAAGATCCAACACAAACACTTTCAGCAGGGCTTGATTTGAAAGCACCAAGACATAGTCGTAGGAATATATTTTGAATTGTGTTTAGAGACTTTAGTAAGGAGCTACTAGATGTCATATAAAGAATACTGCCATAGTCTAGCTTAGAGCGAATTAACGGTCTATATATTTTAAGGAGAGATTCTTCATCAGGTCCCCAAGAGTAGCCAGCAAGAGATTTAAGTAAATTGATTATTTAGGCACAGTTTCCTTTAAGTTCCTGCATATGCTGTCTCCAGATAAGCTTTTATCAAAGGTGGTACCAAGAAGTGTCAAATAGTTACATAACTGTCTAAAAACGAAGTCCGTTTGGAGTTATAGAAGGTAGATTAAGTGTATGTTTTTTGGTAAAGTGAATTACTTTGGAATTAGAAACTGAAAACACAAATCCAGCACGCTTAAACCAGGTGTCTATTTTGTTTATTACATTTTGTAGCAAAGTGTAGTGGTAGGTGGTAGTGCTTAAAACTGAGCCCTGAGGCAAAACGTTATCCAAAGCATGTAGTTTTAATATTTTTCCATTTGTTAATACTCTAAATGATTAAATTTTTTAAGCCATAGACATTTCTCAATCTGCAGCTAAGACTAAATCTTGTAAGATGATCAATATTACTAAAAACGAGTTACCTGCGATATACGTGAGAACACAAAACATATCATATCCCACCGTTAATTATAAGTAAAATAGGAGGAATACATTATAACAACTGTATTTTTCTCTAAAATATATAATAATTCCCCATGCTTTTCCCAAAAAAACCGTGTGCATGTTCATGTATCCAAGTTTAATTGTTGAAATTTTGTTTTAGTAAATGATCTAGAAGAAGTTTTTGATTCAAAGAATGTTGAAAATATCTCAAATAAGATTTTAGGAATGCAAAATTCACTGAAACTTCTCGTCAATGTGGCTGATTATGAAAATAGGAAACTTCAGCTGGAAGGATTAAAAAATAGACTTGAAGCCATAGCAAGTCCCTCTATAGTACAAGCATTTAATACACATAACACAGGTAACTTTATTTAAACTTTTCGTTATATAATTAATGTTTAATTAAGTTTTATAAAACAGTACTACACATTTTTTTGTTTGGATTAATAGATTTACAAAATGTAGAATTAGTAAAGATGTACTAATAATTTCCTAGAATTTAAAATTACCTCTGTCTTCCAGAAACACACTTCTGTAGTTCTTTTATATAGGACGGTAAAGTAGATGGCGATATATATATATATATATATATATATATATATATATATATATATATATATATATATTATTTTATTTTATTTATATTTGAATATTATTTGAAAGGAAATTAGGTAAAGCAAACACCTTAGGTGACAATTTTAAAGTAAATAACATAGTAAGCCTAATTCTGCAATATTAGAGCATGATAAATTTGGCTCAAGTTACTAATGTCCGTTCTCTTATTGAGAGCGTTAGGGTGTTTGAGTATAGAACACATTTCTAAACAATGCCTTTTAACGAGATTGCGTTCAGAACCAAGAATCTTAAGTTCATTACAATCTACTCTGTGTTTAGTGTTGATAGCATGCTGTGCAAGATCACAAGTATGCTTAGATAAGTTGATATCACTGCGGTGCATCGTAAGACCCATCTAAATTCAGTTCCAAATGTTATGAACCTTGGACTGTTGGAAGTTTAATCATTCTTCACCTGTGGCTGGCTATCCAGTCACAACGTAGACTATTAATATATGATTTTTTGGATTGACCTCGTTTGTTTGTTCTTTGTTCATCTTAACCGATCACTAGGGGGAAAATGGTGTTCTCAACCACCTTTTCCTTTCATTTTTTGGGTTATACAGACAGGTTGTCGACCAAATTGTCATATTTTTTAAATAAACCGCTCTATTGTATTGGTAGTATTACGCCTTGTTGTTCTGTCACGCGTTGACCTCAAGGCATCTGTCTTTTCACGTTGGTGGCGTTACAACACCTGTTGCCTCCATTTCATTGGCAGCAGACTAGAAACTTGTAGTGGTAACTTGATTAAATCATTAAAATCATTAATATTAAATCTTAACTATTGATATACTGTTGGAAGTGCATATTGGATCTTTTAATTCTTCTTCACATTAATGTGCTTTTTTACATAATTTTTTTTATATATACATGTACAACTACCACATGTGCTTTTGCTGTGTTAGGCTTTTCATATTATTCTTTTTAGATGAACTGATGATGCTTTCTGATTAAAAAGCGAAACGTTTTCAATAAATAGATGAAGTAGCCATCATCTTTGTCTTTTTTTCTCCACCTTTTGGCCGAAAAACCCGCCACTCGTCAAGTGATCCTTAATTTATATATATATATATATATATATATATATATATATATATATATATATATATATATATATATATATATTATATATATATATATATATATATATATATATATATATATACAGTGTAGGTAAAAGTTTATGGTCGGTATGGTAAAATTTAACAGGATATCTAACGCAGATATAAAATCATATTTTCAGCGAATAGACAAAGATAACAATCATATTTCCCCTTGGTCTATCCTCCATAAATATTTTTCACACTCATTGCTCATTCGTGAGACGATTAGTTCCGATCAGAGATATTTTACATATTCTCTGGTTCCGATACTAATATACCTAAAAAGCTAGAGGTGGATCCTCTCGTGTTTTAACTTTTTATCGGAACCGTTTTTCGTAAACTGTAACTAGTTGATTGTTTACCAGTATTCAAATTAGCGAGTACACAAACATATTGGCTATTATCATTCATGTGTATAAGTATTGAAGTGAAAGAACCTTACGAAGGATATATTTCTTATAACTTGAAAAATAAATTAAACAATACAAATAGTACTTACATTTACATTACACATTGTTAAATCGCGAATCGTCTAAATTGACATTTAAAAACAAGTTTTTCCACTTTTCTTGTTAACCGTGTTCTTCTTTTATTTAAAATTAAACCAGATTTTAAACATGTGTTCACAAGGAAAAGATTTTGTTACAATACTACAATATTTTATGAATATAGTGGTTAAGTTAGGATATACATGACGATGGTTTTTCCACCACGGTAATGGACAGTTTTAATCTCCGTTCGAAATTTTTTGTGGGTAATATATCATCAGACAAATACATGTCGACTTCTTTTATATCTCTCAATACAGGTGTATGTTTAGATGAGTCACGTCCAATTAATTCATCAAAAATACACCATGGACTTAAGTCATCTTTATCAGTTTCTTTTTCGTGTACTGGTTGATTTTCAAGATTTACTAAACTTATGCAAAGACTCGTTTCATCCGTTTTCCATAGGTGAAGAACCAGCTTTTAAAAAGTTTGCAGGGTGGATTCCTGGATAAAAACTGCCAACAAGAAAAACTGTCAGGTTTATTACTTCAGGAATGTTATGTCAAAACTGATTTGATAATAGATAAAATAAAAAGTCCTATTTTCGACAATTCTGCAAAAAACACATTTAAAAAAAGTACCTTATATTCAGAAAGGCTTTTAAAGTAGGTATTAATTACAACATAACAAAGTTCGCAAACGGCCAATCCAAGACGTGGAAACTAGGTAGAACTCACCTACTACATGTTAAAAAAAATGACCGAGTTAGAAGAGACAATCCGTTCCACATCGGTATTAAACAATACAGACTTAGACTTAGACCAAATCTAAATAAATAACACTGGATTATTTGTTCTCAGCTTTCCCAAATTTTACGGCCGTTTAAAGAAATAACAAGTACAATGAGTGACCAAAAATACTTGAAGGGTAGTTCAGTGATTGTTATGGTACGCTGCCTGCAAGAATCTTGCAATAAAATTTTAGCAAACGGCAAATTTAGCAATAAGGTTTAGCAAACCTTACATCCATAGTATCCGACGTAGTACAATTACTAATATCGGGTTTAGCAAAAAGATTTAAAGGGGTAGAACAGAGTGGCACATTGTTATTATGTAAATTTATGGATTCACCGTTTAAAGTGCAGGGTTTTTCTGATAAAAATGAAGATAAAAAAATTAAAGAAAAAGTTAAGAAGCTGGTTACTTCTATAATTAACGAACAAGAAGATTGTACTATTGAAAATTAACCAGTACAAGAAGAAGAAACCAATAAAGATGACTTAAATCCATGGTGTATTTTTGATCAATTAATTGGAGATGGCTCATCTACACGTACACCTGAATCGAGAGTCCATTACAACGGTGGAAAAACCATCGCCATGTATATCCTAACTTAACCACTATTAGTATTGTAAATGTGAACACATGTTCAAAATCTGGTTTAATTTGAAATAAAAAAAGAAGACGGTTAATAAGAAGTAAAGTTGAAAAACTTATGTTTTTGAATGTCAATTTAGACTATTCGCGATTTAATAATAACGTGTAATGTAAATGTAAGTACGAGTTACTATTTGTATTGTTTAGTTTATTTTTCAAGTTATAATAAATAAATCATTAGTTTCTTTCACTTCAATAAATATACACATAAACGATAATAGCCATTATGTTTGTTTATGTAGATACTCTCTTACTTAAAACTACTTTTAAACAATCATAGTTACTTGTTTACAAAAATTTAAATTTTTAAATGCATTCAGTTTTTTTGGAATCCTGAGAAAACTAACAAATATTTTTGAAAAATTTAAATGCAGAATAAAAGATTACATTATTACCGAGGGCCGAAAGTCCCTTAGAATAAACAAAAAGGTTTTTGAATGAGATATTTGAAATTAAAAATCACACTAATTTTTTTTTCACCCCTATAACTTATTAAAATAAACATTATGGAAGTTTTCAGGGACTTTCGGCCCTCCGTAATAATGTATTGTTTCATTCTGCGTTTCAATTTTTCAAAAATATTTATTAGTTTTCTCAGGATTCGTAAAAAATTAATGCATTTAAAAAATATTGGAACGAAATTTTGTCCTTTGTGCCTACGCTCTTAACGATAAAACTAACACGACCCACCTCTACTACTCGTTACTCGGTCGGCCAAACCAAAATAGACCAGACCGACGTTGCCAAATAATTATTGTGTATGAATATTTTTTAATGTGGCGTTATTGTACGCAGTTTATTATTTCATATTGAGAATAAGGCACAATGTGACTTTAAAATAAGCTTATTTTGATGTTTAGATTTTTAATTCGGAAATCGTACTTAAAATACGAAACATTAATAAATTTTATTTATATAAAACGATTTTCGAAGTGGAAATCAAAATGTTATATTACACTTATTGTAAAGTAAACTTGTGGCATATTCCCAATAAAAAAACAGTAAGCTGCCATTTAAATCAGTTTCGCCCAAATTGGATTATCTTAGAACATTGTTCAAATGCAAAAAAAACAACAGGTCGAATAAATCCAATAAGTTTGGCAACGTTGAACTTCTCCTTTCCAGGCATGCTTGTTTGGCGATATAAAGGGCGGACCTAATATACCTCTCTTTTTCTAAACAGCTGTTTCTCACTCCATCTCACGTAAGGTCCATACCGACCATAAACTTTTTCCTATACTGTATATATATTATATATATATATTATATATATATATATATATATATATATATATATATATATATATATATATATGTGTGTGTATGTGTGTGTGTGTGTGTGATTAGTTAAAATATTAGTAATTAATAATGTTAAATAACGATTAATTATTTCTAGAACAAGCACAAATGTACATTCAAATATTTGTCTCAATGGATCGACTTCCTCAACTGTTAAAATACTATCAAAAATGCCAAAAAGATGTACTTCTAAAAAAATGGCGCAACCAATTAGAAATCGAGCAGGACGAGTCCACAATTCAGTGGATTCACAACTTTTATAATCATCTACTGTCCAATTGGCACACTCAGTATAGATGGTTTAACCAAGTATTCACTGGTGCTTCTGCGTTACAAAATTTAATAGATATTTATACCGATGTGTTGACTTCTTTGGATCCCAGCTTGAACGAGTGTATAGATGCAACTCTAAAACAAGTACCAGATAAGTTAAATTTTATAGGAGAAATTAAACAGACAACCACTCAGTTCAGGGATAGTTTGATGAGTATTGTGGATCAAACAGTCCAAAGTAAGTTAATTCTCCAAAATATTTTAGTTTGCTAATTAATAGTTGGTGGGGTCTGAGAAGCCCAGTTTTTACTTTACATTATATTTGATATATGTACAATCTTTTTTATTTCATTTTTAATGCATCTTAACCATTTTAAACAAAATGATAAAATAAACAACATCTTACAAAAAAAAGTTAAAAAAATGTACTTCTCTTACATTTAATAAACAAAATCTTAATCCTAATTTCAATTTTAATTGCAGTCTTCGCAAATCGGTTTAACATGCTCTAAGCATAGCCATTTTTGGCATTTGACACAAAAATATCGTTTTTTATGATTTGGACAATAGGCGCAACGACTTCGTGTATTTGGACGCGGAGGCGCTGAATCTGCATGTACTCCGCTTAATTTTGGGGCGATATTTCTGATATCCTTTTGTAAATGAGGGTCTCTTGCTCTGGTTAGCAATCTTCTTTTCGAAATTAGGTCGTTTTTATTTGCATTAAGTTTATGTATGGCGTTAGAGTTTATGCCTGTAATGTTGAATGTTTATGCCTACGTTATATGTCCCATATTTCTGATCGACTGAGTCAACGCCCGATTTTGTAGTGTTATAATAAATAGTAATAATATTGGGCTTACAGGCATCTCCAGAATCTTTATCAATCGAGTCATCATAGTGAAAAGATGATAATCTTTATTAATCGAGTTATCGTAGTGAAAAGATGACAACAGCATCACGACGTTTTGTTCCTTAGGGATATACCACACCAAAATAATGGATTTGGCTGGGATCAAGAAGTTCCTTTGGAATCTCCCTTTTATTTTTTCGAATTTTTCCAACAATTGTAAGCTTGCACTGCTCCAGCATGCGTTTTACAATTTCGTAACTTGTAAAAAAATTATCCATGGTTATATTTCTAGACGATCCAAACACAGGCTCACATATTCTTTCCACTAAATCGGTGTTTTTACTACTAACGTGATATAGCCCTGGAAGCTGAGCTACAACGTATATTTCCATATTTACTGGCTAAAAACATTGGGCGTCCACTAAGGAAAATACTTTTATGCCATATTTGACTGGCTTATTCGGGATCTACATGTGGAATCTCGTCTAATGTAAAGTAAGATCCAGGAACGTAATTCCAGAACCATTTCTGATTAAATTGGTTAAAAACGTTTCTAATTTTTGCAAGTTTGTCTATGGTTCTTCTTTCCTCTCTAGTATTTACATCATCCAATGTCAAGCAACATAGCAAGAATACATACCTCTTCGCCTGTTCCATCAGTAACCCAGAATTCTTTGCAATTTTGGCGGCTTGCTTTGAAAACCCCAGCGAGATATAATAGACCAATTAACGCCTTTATTTCCACAGCATCTGTATGTCTGGCTTCAATCAGATCTGCATAATTTGTTTCTTAGTTTATAAATAAATATGTTTGTGTTCTGAATAATGGTTTCGAGAATATTATCATCAATAAAACATTTCCGACACTCTAAAGCATCAACTGCTTGACGAGCATTTCCTTTTGAACCTGGTACGTATGAAATTAAATTAGAACTTCTTGTCCGAACATTTCTTGAAGGCGCATGTTTTCTCCAGGATACTTCATCTTTTGCATAATAAATTCTTACTCTTATTACTTTTCTGAATCTATGTTGTGGTCACTTTCTTCACACCTGCCTGATTCTGGCTAGCTTTCCAAATCAATATTCTCTTCTTTTACTTCATCATGGAGCTGTTGTAATCTTTGAATTTCTTTCAGATAAGGATCCATCACTGAAATCTGAAATACAAGAGAAAAAAGTTAAAGGCTGGAACATTACTATATTTAGATATAACCATAGGATTAAAATACTTATTCTATGTAGGTTATACTTCACAAAAAATAGGAAAATAAATTTACTTGTCGAACTCACAAAAGTTACTCGAATAGTCGGGTAGAGTCTGACAGACCAAAACTGCAAATAACTAGTGAAAATTTATACACTAATGCAAACCCCGTTGTTCACTGCTGTTCGACATGTGATGGGAAAGGCACTGACGAACGCTGCTCACTCCGACATAAAATAAGCAGTAAGGCATTAGAAATAAATTGTCGCTGGTCTCGCAGGTCTTACCCGACTACTCAAGGGCTAAGTAAAGATTCTATTTACAGGTCCAACATTCCATATATCCGTATATATATATATATATATATATATATATATATATATATATATATATATATATATATATATATATATATATCCGTATTATAAATTTGAATATAATCAGTTAATCTTTAAATAATTAGTCTTATTTGTTATACCTCAGATCCTCACTTTTAAGTATATCCAAACATATAATTTCATATCATTGTATACATACACATGTATATCGTTTCCTTCTTCTCTTATTAACGGACCTTTGACGTTGATGAGTAACATGGCAAGACCCTCTCCATATTTAATTACTCTGAATAGTTAATTACTATTTAACTGGGACTAAGCCACAATTAAAGGTTAAAGTACGTTTATTGACGTTTCAATTTCCACTTAGTGGAAATAAACGTACATTAACCTTTAATTGTGGCTTATTCCCAGTTAAATAGTAATTAATTTAAAATGCCACATGAAAGTAGCTTCAGAACAATATTCTGAATAGTTGTTCGACTCTCCGTATCCCGGCCTTGTTTTCTACCAATTTCCCTGCGTCTACCAATTCTCCCCCCATATTTACTTATGATTTAAATATATGAAATATTTTGACATGGGTCTTTTTTCATCACCAATTCACAACCTGGAAAAAAAGTGTTTCCATTGTTACTTTTTATTTTTATAGTAAAACCAAGTCCAGAAGATCTACTTGTACTACAAAAAGCAATATTTTCTCACATGGTACCATATATGAATAAGTACGCGGCATACGAGCAAGCGAACTTAATGAAAAACCTCTCATCATTAAACTGTATGAAAGAAGAACTTCCTGATACCATCCAATCACTAGGTTTAAGCATTCCATCGGTGATTGATTTATGTAGAGAGGCTAAAAAGCGATGTCGAGAAATTACTGAAAATTGTGGCTATTGTGGATTGCTTATTGCTTTAAGAGCTTTTTTATTGGGATATGCTGATTTTTTCAGGGTGGCACTTAGGCGAATCGATAGAAGTAAAAGGTAAGTAAAAGTTTAAATTCTTAGTAAGTAAGAAGTAAGTTTTTCTAAGAATTTAAAAGTGGAATTTTACACGTTTATTTTTAAATATTTTTTAATAAAAAAATACTCTATTATCCACAAGAAGTTATTACTTCTATGTAAGTTTTTTAAACTATGGTATTATACAGCCAATCACCGGGATTTTCCCCCTTGACTTTGTTTTCTGATGAATTTTCCTCAATTTAGTTTTATTTGTCATGACGATCTTTTTGCGTTCATTATTTAATTTGATCAAGCAGCTTTTTTTATTTTCGAAGTTTCTTACATTCCTTATATTTATGTTGGTATTCAAATTGTTTGCGATGAATCTTTTCATCGTTCTCTTTATTTTCCGTATTCAAAATTAATACTTGTATTATTATTTTTTATTTTTTACTATTCCAGTTTTTGAATTCTATTAGATAAAATTAAATATTTGATACTCTTGATTTTGTAGATCAGAGGAAGATTGGACTGTTTTCCAACTATGTCTATCACTACTACAGAATACAGGCGAAATAATTTTAAAATTACAGCAGTTCGAGAAGGACTTGACGAGCCAAGTTCTCGAGCTCAACCAGAAAGAAGTGCTTCAGTACAAAATCCTTCTTCTGAGACATTCAGATCTTAAAGAATTTGATTCTCTAGTCAAGTGTGTCACAGAGGGTACACAACTTTCCCTATTGGATTCTGTTACTTCGGAATTTGTTAAATTGTGCACAGATATTCACCACACCACTTATCAAGTAGTGTTTGCTCCTATATCTGTTCAGCTAGATACAGTGCAGTCTCCACAAACCTGGAGTCAGTATGATGGTGCAGCTGTGAGTGATTTGCCTGATTACAGCTTTGCCCCACAAGAATATATTACCCAGGTAAGTTATGTTCATTTCTGAATTAATAATGCAATGGAAACGCATATGTGCGTTGTGTTTGCTAATTTTTTTAAGTTCTACTTCAGTTTGTTTTTAAATCTAATTTATAGATTATTTATTTTAAAATTATTGATTTTATATTTAAAACGAAGTTGTGGAACAACACGAAATAAAAGTATTTAACTAGATTCAATACATGTTGTGGTCTTAAATAAACTGTGCGTTTTTGAGTGGTTGATATTGATCAAATATAGATGTTTACTAGAGACAAGACTAATATTTTCTTATTGACTTTAAATAAAAGTATTTAAAATTTAACTATTTGGGTAATACAATTATAATAATCACAATAATCCTATTTATTGCTTACCTTCATGGAATAAAGACCCAACTTTAACATAAGACTTACCATGACTCTTCTCCAGAGATACACCAATAAAAATGTGTATACGAATATTTTAAATATTGAAATTATTCCTAATACCGATCCTTTTTTCCCTAACCATACATAAAGTACGCAATGGAAGTGTTAATATGTACTTTTCTTGTTTAGATCGGTCAGTATCTGATGATTCTTCCACAGCACTTGGAACCATTCTTGTTTAAGGAGAATCCATCGTTGTCGTGCGCTTTGAAATCTGTGGACCAAGAGTACAACAACGCTCCAGAGGGAGAAGGTACCTTGGCGCATGTTTTTCTCACGATCATCGCAAATGGAACGTGTCAATATTTTTTTGACAAGATATTATCAATTTGCGAATTAAGTCCCGCCGCTAGTCGACAATTGGCACATGATATAAGTAAGTATAATGACGAAACATTGAAATGAAATTCGTTTCAGGTTGGAATTTTTTTAAATCAAATTTTAGGTGAATAATATTGCCAAAAAACTAAGAAACTAAGTTTCTAATGGCAATTTTTATGTTTTCGAATCCTTCAAATAAGTGGGAAGTTTAGGTGTTACGAATGGAATATACGGTAAAGATTCAAAAATTTGTGGTGTTGTCGGTGTTAAGGTGCTAAAGTGTTAACTGTCGGGCTATTGTTAGTTTCTTGGGTTGCCTTTTTCAATGTGATTTGCTTTTATTGTTGATATTATCGATCAATGTGATGGATGCTGGAAAGTTCGCAGTATTAAAAATTAATTTATTAAGTAGGCCTACGGGATAAGAATTTTCCATTAGTATGCTTTTTAGTTACTCTACTTTTTAGTCTCAAATTCAAGTTTATTTTCATTAATGCAGTCTGTTCCGAATAGTAATTTATGAATATATTGCTACAAATCGATTTTTGATACCGTTCTGTTTTGAGACTATTCTCGTGTGTGCGATGAACAAACATATCTAGAAATGGGAGACTTTCTTTGTTCTCTTTCTGCAGTGTAGTGTAATTGGCTACGTTGGTTGTTGAAGATATTTAACACTTCATTCATGTAATTTTCTCTCTCTCTCACACACACACACACACACACACACACACACACACACACACACACATATATATATATATATATATATATATATATATATATATATATATATATATATATATATTATTTACAAAATTGAGGCGAAAGCAACCAAATATCTCATGGCAAATCTCATCCTTTGAAGTACAATAGCTCTTTTACTAACTATCAATGTCCTTTAAGGTTCTTAGTGACATAATATATAATATTATAAACAAAAAATAGACTAAATGTTTTATTCATGTTGTTTTGTAGGTTATCTGCAAAATATTTTAGAAGAACTTGGCTTATCATTATCGGAGAATCTTCAACAGTTGACGATACTCTTGAAACTACCTACAGAGCAGTATCAATCCCAAAGCACTGGATGCTCAGCGCGATTGGTTGCAGCTGTACGACAAATGAGAAATATTAAATCTTCTAATTAGTTGATAATGGAAAAATATAATTTATTTATGCATATATACTATAATTCAAACAAACAGCATTAGGAGTAGGAATGTTTAACATATATTTTTTACTCATGTTTTAGTTCGAAGTTTTCTTTTCGGTTAATATGAGCATACTTTCTGTTGCAGTTCAGAGCGACACAAAGTTTTCTTTTGAGTTTTCGGTTGGTGCGTGCGTTCCAGATCATTAGCGTATCTCAAAAGACGCGTTGATTTATTCCAATAAAATTACCATATAAACTTCTTATCTCTTACAGTCTTTCCCAGTACTGTATTGAAAGGCAGACATACCAAAGCGTCTCTTCGTTCATTTATTTTTACTCGGAAAATAACTTTAGTTATTTATTTATTTATGAATATTTGTTTCTTTTGTTGCATATTTCCCATTTTTCATGCATATCTGAAGAATAATTTTTAATTTATTTCCGTATTTCTTTCATATCATAGGCCGGAAATGTATTAAGTTTATCTAACTTCTCGTAAACGAGATTTTCTCAGAAGAAAATGCCATTTATTAATTTATTACACTTATGATTTAGAGTAAAATTATGTACAGTACTACTTTTCTTCATAAGACACTCCTACACGCAAATTAGTACTCGTAAAACCAAAATGTTATTAGCGATTAGATAAGTGCGCTAAATATGCATTAAATTTTGTATAATAAATTATATATAAACGATTGGAGAAGCTAATATTTTAAGTTGAACTATAGTATCTAAAGAAATCAGATAATTTTGTAAAAAAGTCTTTTCTAAAGAACTAAAGATAATGGCTTATTCTTTGATGGAAACTCGTATTGTGAAGTGATAAAGGAGTAGCTTTGCGAAATATTTTTCCGTGAAGACTCTTGCGGAATAAAATTTCCATTTTCGGAGTTGTTACCGCCATTTTTGTAGGTTTTAGAACGGTCGAATATTTCGATACGACCCAATATATGGCCCCGATATAATGCTATAGACTTATTTGTTAATCGATACGATATGATAAAATTATGGCTTAATAGGTATCTACACTCCGCGTCATAGAAAACGGGCCACCCCAAAGATTTAAAATATTTTCGAAGTTATTATTTATTGCTACAAAATTAAGCATTATTTTTTTGTATATTGAATCAATAACTCGTTTAGTATAAAATTTCATTATTATCATAAAACATCAATCGAAAATAAAAAAATTATGAAAAATAAGAAATTTATTGAAAAAATCAACTTACAGTTTTTAAAACAACAATGTACTGTATATTAAAAAAAGCTGGTATCCATTTTCAGTAATGGGTATTGCTACCTCGATTTTGGATGACACTCCTCATTCGATTTGGCTTGGAATTTATGACGTTTTGGATATCTCTTTGGGGAAAAGTGGCCCATTCCTCAATGAGTGCCATCTGAAGCTCTCCAGGTGTTGTTGGAGCAGGTATGCGACGCCTAACGCGACTTTTTAGCAGGCTCCATATATCCATATATCCTCAATAGGATTTAAATCGAGGCTTTGAGCAGGCCCGTCTATTTTTGGAATACCAACCTCGTAGAGTTTACTCAAGGTACTCTGTTACTATCCTTGCCGTGAGTGTCTTGCATTATCCTGCATTAGCAGGAAGTCGTTGCCAATAAATCCAGCATAGGGCATCACATGATGTTGTAAGATTTCCGTTATGTACCTTACTGCTGTTAGCGCACCTCTGTCGATCACGACGAGATCCGTATGCGCATCAAAAGAAATCCCTGCCCAAAACATTACTGAACCACCACCAAAAGTACCCGTGGTGTCCGAGTGCAACCAGCGAAACGTTCTCCAGCCCGTCTGTACACCTTACTGCGTCAGTATTTACCATAAATAGACATTTTGCACTCATTCGCAAACAATACTTTTTTCCAATCGTCTGCTGTCCAATTGATGAGCTTCGTCTTTTGTGAGCTGGGGAAAGTAAGGGCCCCGTTGCTGGACTGCAAGGTGTCAAACCTTGCTCCTTTAATCTTCGCCGAATAGTAGAAAGGCTGATTGCTGGTCCTTGAGTTTGCTGTAAATGGCCTTGAAGTATTCTAGCGGTTTGGGTCCGATTCCGTAATGCAGCAAGAAGGACGACGCGATCTTCCCTAGCGGTTGTTTTCCTTTTTGGACCCATACCAGGTCGTCGTTGGTGAGATCCTGTCACAATAAATCGTTACTGGGTCCTTTGTACAGTCGAACGACTAACATTCAATTGTCTTGCAACTTGTCTTTGACTTAATCCACTTCACAGTAACGTTGCAATTTCAACCGATTTTTAAAAATTCTCCATTGTTATTAACTCAAGACTACTTCACACTAAGTCAGCTACTGTAATACTGAGATGCGTTCAAAACTCATTAGAACCCTTTACAATATTATACATTTCTCCAAACAATCGCTTCCTCGAAAATTGATCAAGTTGTAAACAACTTTTTCTCAAAATTGTTTTGTTTTATAGGTTCTACGAATATCGTCAATCCAGTTACAGGGTCGATTTGTTTTCGCAAGAACCCATTTAACTTAGATAACCCAGACACATTAAAAATAAAATAATATTAATTCATTATACGAAAAATAAATGCTTAATTTTGTAGGAATAAATAATAATTTCGAAAATATTTTAAATATTTGGGGTGGCCCGTTTCCTATGACGCAGGGTGTAATTTAAAACAAATAAAAAATAAAATTTACCAGCTTTTTATGTATCTTTTTTTGCCAATTACCACTGATTACTGAACTCGAACTACTGTTAAAATCTATCGACACTACACAATCTATCACACAATAAATAAATAAAACCATTTCCGAGGCGAAAACGTCAAATATAATGTATTTGTCGTTAAAATTGTTGTTAATTCCAATATAGTAAATTCTCTTACTACGTTTACACTAGTCCCTATTCCAAAATATAATATATTAATTACATAAAGTATTTTATTACCTAATAGTTATAGGATTGCTTTTCTTTTATATGTATGATGATGGTTATATTTTTATTGATAAGTAGACAATGTTTCATAGAAAAGAACAGGTTTTGAGTGAACTGGGCTTTAAAGGATCTACACTACAGCTATCATGATGGAAGGAATAACACTCCAGAAGTTACCATTTTCATCCTTTCCTTTTTTTAAACAGTTAGAATCTCATTATATACAGGAGCGTTCTACTATGGTTCCCTTTACTTATGCCTTATGTGTTACACCTACTGAGCATGAAAATAAAGAATCAGATCCCTTCCTTGTTTAAAAAATGAATATTGATATGTTCCCTATTTAATTATCAGTTTGATTACTTCCACCCTGGAATATGCAGGGTGGAAGTAAGCAAACTTCTTACTATATACAGTATAGGTAAAAGTTTATGGTCGGTATGGACCTTACATGAGATGGAGTGAGAAACAACTGTTTAAAAAGAGAGAGATATATTAGGTGTCCGCCTTTTACATCACCGAACATAAATGAGTGAATATGGAAGTGGATATAATAAAAAGGGGAAATTCAACGTTGCCAAACTTATTGGTTTTATTTGACCTGTTGTCTTTTTCGCATTTGAATAATGCTGCAAGATAATGAAATTTGGGCGAAATGGATTTAAATGGCAGCTTATTGTTTTTTATTGGGAATATGCCACAATTTTACTTTACAATAAGTGTAATATAACATTTTGATTTATACTTCGGAAATCGTTTTATATAAATAAAATTTATTAATGTTTGGTATTTTAAAAACGATTTCCGAATTAAAAATCTAAACATCAAATTAAGCTTATTTTAAAGTGACATTATGCCTTATTTCCAATAAAAATATTAAACTGCATATAAATAAAAAAGCTTCGTACAAAACTATTTGACAACGTGGCGTGTCGCGTGGTCAAATCACCGAATCAAAGGGTACACAGGTATTTACGAATAGAGGTGGGTCATTGACGTCGCAAAACCGATTTTCGTAAACAAGTAACTATGATTTTTAAATAGTAGTTTCAAGTAAGAAACTACCTACATAAACAAACATAATGGCTATTATCGTTTATGTGTATATTTATTGAAGTGAAGGAAACTAATAAAAGATTTTATTATAACTTGAAAACTAAACTAAACAATACAAATAGTAAATCGGACCTACGTTTACATTACACGTTTTTATTAAATCACGAATCGTCTAAATTGACATTTACAAACATAAGTTTTTTTACTTTACTTCTTATTAACCGTGTTTTTCTTTTATTTAAAATTAAACCTGATTTTGAACATGTGTTCACATTTACAATACTTTATGAATGTAGTGGTTAAGTTAGGAGATACATGGCGATGGTTTTTCCACCATTGTAATGGACTCTCGCTACAGGTGTACGTTTAGATGAGTCATGTCCAATTAATTGATCAAAAATACACCATGGACTTAAGTCATCTTTATCGTTTTTTTTTTCTTATACTGGTTGATTTTCAATAGTACAATCTTCTTGTTCTTTAATTATAGAAGTAACTAGCTTCTTAACTCTTTCTTTTGTTTTTTTAGCGTCATTTTTATCAGAAAATCCCTGCACTTTAAATCGTGAATCCATAAACGTACATAATGACAATATGCCACTGTATTCTATCCCTCTAAATCTTTTTGCTAAACCCGAGATTAGTAATTATCCCGTAATTAGTGATAAAAACCCGTACTACGTCGGATACTATGGATGTAAAGTTACTGTTTGCTAAAATTTTATTGCAAGATTTTTGCAGGGAGCGTACCAGAACAATCACTAAACTATCATTCAAGTATTTTTGGCCACTCATTGTACTTGTTATTTCTTTAAAAGGCCGTAAAATTTGGGACAATTACGAAAAAATAATCCAGTCTTCATTATTTAGATTTGGTCTAAGTCTAAGTCTGTATTAACTGATACCAATGTGGAACGGATTGCCTCTTCTAACTCCGCCATTCTTTCTAACATGTAATAGGTGAAGTTCTACCTAGTTTCCACGTCTTGGATTGGCCGTTTGG